ACAACGTAGGAAACAGATCCGGCGTGACGCAGCTGACACAGAACAGCATACGCTGTTTATGTCCAGCTGATACTCTCCAAAACAGGAGACGAATTGTTGAATAAAGTCTTTTTTTTTCTTTTGCGCACAAAAAATATTCTCGTAGCTTCTTATAATTGCGGATGAACCACTGATGCCACATGGATTATTTTACAGATCTCCTTGCTACGTTTCTGGACTTGGAAACATTTCAGTTGTATTGCTGTCTATGCAGGGTCAGACAGCTCTCAGATTCCATCAAAAATATCTTAATTTGTGTTCCGAAGATGAACGAAGGTCTTACGGGTTTGAAACAACATGGGGGTGAGTAATGACAGAATTTTAATTTTTGGGTGAACTAACCCTTTAAGTACTTTTATTTGTAGTTTGTGTGGAAGAATGGGTCAAAATCACAGCTGAGCAATGCATACGACTAGTTTCTCCATACAGAGGAGGTGTCTTGAAGCTGTCATTAACAACAAAGGCTTTTGTACAAAGTAATAAATACATTTCAGTAAGCGTTCAATACTTTTCCCCTAGGTCATTCCATTTTATTACACATAACTTTCTATTTATTACACAGAAATTTCTGAACTTATTTGTTTTGTTTTCTTTGTATGTATGGATTGCTTGGGTTGTTACTGACATCTGGTGAAAATTTCATGTCAACTTGCTACGTTTCTGGACTTGGAAACATTTCAGTTGTATTGCTGTCTATGCAGGGTCAGACAGCTCTCAGATTCCATCAAAAATATCTTAATTTGTGTTCCGAAGATGAACGAAGGTCTTACGGGTTTGAAACAACATGGGGGTGAGTAATGACAGAATTTTAATTTTTGGGTGAACTAACCCTTTAAGTACTTTTATTTGTAGTTTGTGTGGAAGAATGGGTCAAAATCACAGCTGAGCAATGCATACGACTAGTTTCTCCATACAGAGGAGGTGTCTTGAAGCTGTCATTAACAACAAAGGCTTTTGTACAAAGTAATAAATACATTTCAGTAAGCGTTCAATACTTTTCCCCTAGGTCATTCCATTTTATTACACATAACTTTCTATTTATTACACAGAAATTTCTGAACTTATTTGTTTTGTTTTCTTTGTATGTATGGATTGCTTGGGTTGTTACTGACATCTGGTGAAAATTTCATGTCAATAGCACCTTTAGAAATATATTTACGGAGAAAAATGGTGACGTGTTCAATACTTATTTTACCCACTGTGTATATGTATATATTTACCGTAAACCTACTGCAGGGAATCTTTATTAACAGACCTCGGCCATTGAAATGGAAATCAAGCCTGTAACGTCAACTACACCTACACTGGAGCAAAGAGCGCCAAGACTCCCGCCCCACCAAGTCCAGTTATATATCCAATTTCTCCAGCTGCAGTTCAGAAAGAGAAATCTGTCGTCTTAATATAACCTCACAGCTGTGAGCCCAGAAGGAATGCCGGGCCTGGCCGCAGTCATAAACTCAAGTCAGAATATCCTCTGCCTAATCAATGTGCGTGTCGTCTTCTTCCGACGTGAGCTTTGATGACCCTTACAAAGTCTGATCGCCATTGCCAAGACAAACTGAATCATGTGTGCATGTGCATATGTATGGATGTGTGTGTGTGTGTGTCTTACAGACAGAACGGCTGGGATTGTTTTCACGCCATGCACACACCCCAGTCATGTTGTCATACAACCTCTGCTGAGCTCCAGGCCGGCGAGTCCAACGGCTGTCTGTGCAACAGGCAATCTTGGTTTAGGAATCGCAATTTCGCCACAGAATGGGCCGTTAAAACCGCGCTCGTTCCATGAATCATGCTGAATCTAGTTTTGTTTCTTGGAATTTAAGTGTTTCTGCTCTTCCCATGATGGCAACTGGTGTTTTGGGGGAGTTTGGACTATATTAAACATACAATAGCGCTGCTTCATCATCTTTGGGCTGTTTGCCATGAATGTTTTAATAGATTGTTCGCACAAAAATTACAATTGTCATTTCATTTCCACAGCCTTATGTCATTCCAAAGCCTTATGGCTTTTTTTTTTTTTTCCAGTTGTGAAACACAAAAGAAGACTGTTTGCAAAATGTTTACACTGCTCTCTTTGATACATAGTCACTGAATAGTGACCAGGTCCTGCCGGGACCAATGAAAACGCCATAAAGACATTATAAATGTAGTCCATACACTATTTTAAAAGTCTTTTTAAATCATGGAATAGCTTTAATTGAACATTAAGTCACCAGTCATTGATAATCTTGCTTGAAATGTCTTGGTCACCATTCACTTTTTATTGAATGGGAAAAAGAGCAAGAACATTGTTTTTTTTTAATGTTCCAGGGGTTAACTTTTATTAAAAATAGCAGATTTTAGCACTTTCATTTTCTTATATGAATGTTGTATTTTAAAATTTAGGGGCAAATTTACTATCAGTTTGCGCCAGCGATAACCCTCATTTGGTGTTAAAAAAAAACTGTCAGGATTTACTAAAGACACGCAGTGTGGAAATTAGTGCCGATTCCGAAAAGGCGTAGAAACCGTTATTTTGCGACTTACCTTATTGAATATGCATTTGTAGGAGTTTCCCTTTCGATCGGTAAATTTATGGGAGGAGAGTATTTAAATTAATCACTTAACGCAATTTACTAAGAATTGCGCTCGTCAGTTCACTGGTATTTGCGGCATTATTTAACGCCCCAAAAAAAGCATGTCTTAAAGCAGGCGGTAATTTGCGCTGCTCTTGGTAGATTGCGCTGGTCATTATGGAAATGAGATGTTGCACCTTGTCAGTAAATCACCCGCAGAATTTACCTCCCATCGGTGCTTTTACAAAATTGCGCTCTAACACTAATGTGCCCTGTTTAGTAAATCTGGCCCTTAGTCTTGGAAACTTTACACCATACCATTCTTAATTTATTTTTGCTCATTTTCACGTGTCCTTTATTTTATAGACTTTATAGACAGACCTAGACTTCTGAATCTTAAACCATGAAAATCTGTAATAAAAATGTGTTTTGCAACTATGATAACCTAAAGAAAGAGTCAACGTGTTAAAACCATTTTAATATTTTTTGCGTCAAAATGATTTTTGGCAATTTTCACACATGAAAATGAAGACGCAATTATGGTAAATGTTGCTTGTGAACAGAAGTTTTTGTGCAATTTCCAAAGTCAAGCGGATTTTTTTGTTGTAAATGAAGTAATGATTATTGGAATCCATTTTACAAGGAAATACCATTTCAGTCTTTCTACTTGAAAATTTCATGTTTAATTCTATGTTACTTGCAATTTCTTTGTAATTATTATGACATTTACTTGCAACTTCTGAGAGTAAATAGTTTCAAAGTAAATCCTCCACCATTTTTGTTTTTTCAGTATAGCAAAGATTTGTTTAAAATGTCATTTCCATCACTGAATTCTGTTAAACACAATACGTAATATGTGTTATGGTGGACACTGTGATGGGAATTGTCATTTTTCATAAAAATAACTGACAAAAATTCTCATGTGTTGCATGTATCCATTGTTATTAGAAAAAAATTAACTAGTGAAAATGTGAAAGGTTAGTTTTAAGTGGTTTTATTTTCCAGGTCCAGAGGGACAAAAGTGCACATAGTTGAAAAAAATACTTATAAATAATAAAGGATCGGAAAAACTCATGGTGAATAAATAATGACAGAACTTTTTTATTTTTGGCTGAACTATTCTTTCGGGAACTCGCATGCTCTTGTTTTTGTGTTTTTGAAGGACGGTGGTGATGCCAATTGCGAACGAGTTCGCTCCAGACGTGGTGCTGGTTTCTTCAGGCTTCGACGCTGTGGAGGGGCATCTGCCACCTCTGGGAGGATACAAGCTCACGGCCAAATGTAAGTGCTCTGCGTTCCCCTGTACTTAGGAAGATTCTCGTGGGATGAAGCAGTTGGAAGCAAAAGGATGAGTCACTGACGTGGAAGTCAGCCTTTGTCCCACTCCTCTCTCTCGCTCGTTTCTCATGTCTAAAAGCTTTCATTTCAGTCAAATTTATCATGTGCTAATACCACAAAAACAAGAGACCACACTCTTGTGTGCAAAGTCTAATCCCAGAAGGGAGAGATTGTACCAGTCATCCTCTCTCATACTTCCAGATCCCTGATGTTTTTCCTTCTTTGTTCCCATGTGTGCGTAATATCAAGATGGCATTCCGGGCCAGTTTCTAAATCAGACATTTAATGATTGTACAGCACTTGTTGTTGGGGTCCAAAAGGCTGCTTTTATCCTGTTCGAGGGATCATAAGGCCGGCTCTTATAGATTACATCTCTTGGTGAAAGCTGTCCATATGTCAGCGCTGGAAACGCAAAGTAGAAACACTGCTCTTTCAAAACATTTGCCCAGAGTCTAAAGAAAGACAGGTTGTCCGGTCTGAATTTGCACCATTCTTGCATCTAAAAGTAACTTTAAATCAGATTCAGTCTTCTGCTGATCTAAGAATGGCTCGATGATCTGTGACGGCATTTGTTTTTCATTTATCTGCTTATCTTAAAGGAACAAGTCACCCATTAAATAATTCTGATGTTATTTAGTCAGCCTCATGTCGTTCCAAACCTCTTGTTCTGTTTTTGTTTTGTTTAATATGGCGGTTCATAGTGACCAAATGTCATATGAGCTCTTAAAAGAACAAAAAAAAAAATCCTAAAAATAGGCTGCGTTATTTGTATGCCATATTTCTGAAGTCATATGACAGCTGTGTAAGAAACTGGATGAAATGCATGTTATTCGCTGAATATGAGGCCTTAAGATAGGTTTATTATAGTTAACCAAAACTAAAACCATAAAAGTTTAATATAAAATATTTTCTGAAAATAAAATAATCATTAGCTGAAATAAAATATTTAAAACAAAAATGTATTTCAGCCAATTGCCACGGCAACATTTTTCATTTTTATTTTTTTTTAACTTGAAGTACTAAAGTAACTAAGACTAAAAAACTAAAACTATTAAATAAAATAGATATATTAAAAAATAATAATAATAATAATAAATAAATCTTATCTTATTCAAAACATTAACTAAAACTATAATAGTATATGAATGATTCTTTAAAAAATAATAATTTAATTTATATGACCACAAAGAGAATTGAAATATAGTGCATTTTTAAGATGCTTTTTAGAGTAGACGTGGTCAACATTAAATGTCGTTGTGTGGAAAAGAGCTGCGTAAACATTCTCTAAATTTCTCCTTTTGTGCATCCATACAAAATAAAAGTTTAAAACGACACCAGGATGCAAAAATGATAACACGTTGGGAGTGATGTTGGGAGTACTGTTCCTTTAAAGCGCATTATGTGCATAACTATTCAGAGGAGCTGCAGTTCTGGTGCAGTTATTGTTGTATCAGGTTCTCAGGGGTTGAGCTGAGCTGGACGGTTCCTTCTCTTACATGTTGAAGAACGTCTCATTCGTGCCAGTGAAGAATTAAAACAAAATAAAATCATCTAGGATGGCCTTGAATGTGAATCTCTGGGGAAGGGAGGTATAGTCGGATGCATATATCCAAACAAAGATCAAAAGATGCCTGCGGCCAAAATACTAAGCCACATTTATTAAAATTAAACCTGCCTCATATTATACGTTTAGGCCCAGTAAATCCAGAGTGCCGTCTTTTTAACAGAGAGAATGTGATGTAATACTGTCTTATTTTCTCCCTCTCCCTCTCTCCATTTTTTTCTTCATCTCTGGTTCCTTTGATCAAAGGCCAGCCACCGGTTTCTGAGTGCGCTCTATAACCCCCTCTTGTATTTCCTGTCTCCCCCTTTGGCAGGTTTCGGCTACCTGACCAAGCAGCTGATGGGACTGGCCGGCGGCCGGCTGGTGCTCGCGCTGGAGGGGGGTCATGACCTCACCGCCATTTGCGATGCCTCTGAAGCATGTGTTTCTGCTTTGCTTGGAAACGAGGTAAGAGCCGACTGGAGATCAGACGGGGAGGGTGACTCAGGGATGGACAGGGCTTTATGAATGGAGGAAAAGATGAAGGGATTTTACAGAGTGACAACATCCTCCAGTGTTCGACAATATGGATTTTTTTTTCCATTCAGATTTGACTTGCCCTGAAGCACTGAACAGAACTGGAAAAACAGTTACAATTTCCTCCCTTTCATTGTTTGGATAGTCAGATAGTCCTGCCTCAGACTTATGTTATTAAATGATGCCGTTTTATGCAACAGAAATTACAAATTTAACCTGTCTACACTTTCCTTTCTTGTAAAAAGTTTTATTTAAATTTTATTGTTTTTAAAATAAATTATATAAAATAAAATATTTAATAATTTATTTTAAAAATACATTTACAAAAATGATATAATCACACACATAATTTAGTAATAAAAATTAGTAATAATAATTTTAAATAATGTATTTACTCAACTTGTCTACACTCCAGTTTAATGGAAAAAAATATATATATATAATAACTGTAAATTAAACATATACGACATTCTAATTTATTGAGATGCACCTGTATATATGTGTGTGTGCGTGTGTGTGAGTATTTTTTACACGAAAGTGGAGTGTAGACAGGTTGAGAAATTAAATTGTTAAAAATTATTTTCATTATTAATATTAATAACTAAACTCCACTTCCTGTAATATATAAAGGCTAATTTTAAAAATATATATTTAACATTTGTTTTATATTAGTGCTGTCAAACTCTTAATCACAATTAATCGCATCCAAAATAAACGTTTTTGTTTACATAATATATGTGTGTGTACTGTGTATATTTATTATGTATATACAAATACTCACACATACAATAGATATTTTGAAAATATTTACATGTATATATTTATATTTATATAATTTATATTATATATAAATATATTTAATATATAAACATAACACATTTTTCTTAAATATATATGTGCATGTGTGTATTTATAATAAATATACACAGTATACACATATATTATGTAAACAAATGTAATTAATCGTTTGACAGCACTACTTTATATAGAATTTATTTTTATAGAAAAGTGGAGTTTATTATTTTTAATATTTAACATTTAAGATTTGTAGGAGACAAATTTAAAGCAAAAAAAATAATTTTAAGCAAATTATTTTTATAAGTTGAATATTAGATTTTAAGCATTTGTGCGCAATCTCCTGTGCAACAGTTGGTCTAAGCTAGACATAATTTTGAGTCAGGTGGGCATCTTTTTACAGTGCCTCACACCATGCATTTTGTGTTTTTAAGGCAGTGTGCCAAGTTATAAATAGTTTAAGTTTTACAAAAGGATCTCGAGCACTATTGTGTGTCATCCACCTGGCTTTGAGTGCAAAGAACATGTGTATGACACCCTCATTTTTTTGCTCAGTAATTCTGCGAGCTGATTTAAGAGTGATGATCCATCAGGTGAACTGAACCTCTGTCTCACTGGCCCCGGGCCCTGTTTCGTCAAGCTCTGTCCTCTTTCCTCCCACCCAGCTTTTGTCTAGGGTGTCACAGACTAGATGTTTGTCAGGATGTGTAGTTAGCAGCACTCCCTTTGTGCTGGCCTGCCAGCAAGGTTCAGCTGACACGGTCATAATCCAGCCTGAGGATGGCAGGGAAAGAATAGCAGACGCTTCACTGTCCGCACACACACAAACAAAACAAATGAAGCTGTAGGGCGTCATTTATCTGCTTGTCTCTGTGTCAGAGGAAGAATCATTTCTTTTATGTTCCCATCTCTCATCTTCACTGCTATTCTTTCTATTCATCTTCTTTCATTCAGAGCCTTCCTTTCTGTTTCTAAATCAAATACGCTCTCATTTTGGCTCTGCCTTGCTGTCTAAACAGCACACTAAATCTAAATGAACCTCATAAGTGAGCGTTTTGGAACAGTCTACATAGGCAGCAGCTTATTGCATCCATCCTCAAATGATTTCAGTAGAGCTTGACATTAGCTAAGATAAATGTGTGATACTCTAACCAGCAAAAAATACTATAGTACAGTAAAGTAGTGTGTGTGTGTGTTTATACATATATATATATATATATATATATAAACCGTATAAAAATACTGCTAATATGCTTATAAAATATGTATAAATAAATATATTTTCAGCTTTTCAGCATTTTTGTTACTTATATTTCCTTATATATTTTTGGCCATTTATAAATATATTTTTGATATACATATATTTACATTTAATAATATTAATATTATTGTTATTACTAATTACAGGAAGGTACTAACTAAAAGTAATAACTAAACTCCACTTTGTAAAAATAATCTGTAAAAAAAAAAATCTATATATGCAATTTATATATTTTTTTTTTTCCGTTACTATAATTAATATTTTTAGTGCTCATATTTTCTCATATATTTTGGCCATTTTTAAATTGTATTTCCAAAATACATATATTTACATTATAATGCATTTACAAAAAATGCATTATAAGATTAGAAACATATTTTCTTGATCCTTGAAGTACATTTTGTAATATTGGTATTTGAAAGTTAAAATATATTCCCTTAACCCACACTATTTAAAACATTTTTAACAGATATTATTAACAGATACTAATATTTAATATTATATATAATATTTAAAGTTAAGCATGCTGAAGTATAAATTATTATCTCCCGTCATTCTTTTGTTCATTTGGGTAACACTTTATTTCGATAGTCCACTTTAGACATTCTATTAACAGTAAGTAACTTTGCAACTACATGTCAACTAGCAGTTAGTAGAGTATTAGTAGACTGTCTGCTTAATACCTTCTAACACTTGTTCATACTTTTTCATTAGAAACAGTTATAATTTAGTTTCCAGTGACCATTCTATCGTCTCTGTGACCCCTTATTTTTAGTTCTTCTGCTATGTAGTGATAGATTCCTCATGATATGAGCTACTCAAAGAAATTCTGATTAAAGTAAATAGAATTAGAAATAGAGTACCGGCGGAGATCCAAAAATAAGAAGGGATTACAGGTCTGTAACAGGGACCTGCTGCAGCTCCATGTGTGAAGTGGCTTTTGTTTTGTTTTATACTTGTATTTAATATGGTTTCTTCACAAGAATTAATACAGTCCTCATGTTGACTTTCCTAAAATAGAGTGGTCAGTCATATTTAGTTGATCTGTTTGACAGAATTGCATACCAAAACAGTTTTAAGTGAAGTGACAGGCCTTCAGTGTGTTCGTGAGAGTTCTTACAGAGTTTTCTTCAACTGAACAAGGAGAGGAGAACCTGTTGAAACCATCCACACAGACACAGTGAGCCTCTAAAACACGTTCAATTGCAAAAGTGGTCCCAGCCTGTGTGGATCCCGACATTTACACTTGTGCTGGGTTTCTACGGCTTCGCTTTGCTGACCGCTGGGAGTTCGTGTGCAGAGCAGGACTCTTACGGTCAGATGAGAGGACAGGCCTCGCTCCTGCTGTTACTGAAGCTCTAGAGACAAGCCTGTAAATACATTCCTGGAACAGTAAAAGTGAGCTGACTCTACTCCATTTCTGAGGATGAGAGGAAAATAAACAGGATAATTAGACCGCATGATGGAGCTTGTGTGCTCTCTGTGTCTTCTGCACCAGGAATTAGGCGTATGTTGATTAGCTCTGGCACTAGTTGACATATTTGGTATACCACAGTAATTTCAACCGTTAGAGTACAGAAAAAAAGTAATATTATAGCAATTTAAAGAAGTTATCTATTTAAATATATTTTATTTAAAAAGTAATGTATTGCTGTGATGCAAAGCAGAATTTTCAGCAAATATTATTCACATAATATTCATCTAAATAATTTTCCACAAAAAAACACTATTTTTATATCTAATCCCTGCCCTATACTGGCAGCCAGACAAAAAAATACTTTAATATTTTTCTTATTTATATTAACATGTACTGTTTATTCAAGCCAGAGCTCACCAGGTTTGATAACATGTCATATTTTTTCATTGCTTCCAGTATAACTATAATAACAATCATTTATTTTAACCTCCTGGGGTCGACAGTTCCGGCGGCGGAACTTTTTGCAGATTTGAATGATGACAGCGAAAAGAACTAAAATGCTCCTTCATACTTGCCCGTACATATAAGAGTAATACAGCATTTAAATCTGTAAAGGGTCTACTTGTTACCAACTGTTGAATTATTATTATTATTATCACCTTGTCAGCTCATTATTCAAATAATAGATAAAGTAATATTTGAATATTTAGTATAGTATAATCTTTCTATTTTTAATCATTATCATTATTTGTATTTATGTATTATATTGATGTAATATATATGAGATATATAGAGAGAGAGGGATAAAAATATACACTATATATCTATATTTTATAAAAATATATGAAGCGCCAAACAGGAAACTATATAACTGTGACTATGTATAAGTAAATCAGAATATATAAATGTAAATCAGAATATATAAATACAGGATTTTTCAGGATTTTTAAATATATTCTGATTTACAATTAAATTTTCAGAATTATAACTATATATTCATGATTTACATTTTTATATATCAACAGTTTACATTGATATATTCAGACTTACATCTACATTTTCGCAATTTGACTTATTCAGATTTACTTCTATATATTCTGATTTATAAATATATATTCTGATTTACTTCTATATATTCAGACGTACAACTATATATCCTGAGTTGCATTTATATATTCAGTTTTGTATTAATATATTCTGAGTTACATTTATATATTCAGATTTGCATTTATATATTCAGATTTACATTTATATATTCTGATTTATAAATATATCTTCTGATTTACTTCTGTGTAGTCGCAATTTGCATTTATATATTCAGTAGTCACAAAACTCACGGTTCAGATCATATTACGGATTTTGAGTCACGGATCGGATCAGCAAAAAAAATTCTGAAAGCTTATTTTAAGTACTATACCACAGCAAAAACTACTATCTTAACTAATAAAGTCAGTAAAA